TTGTTATGCAATTGCACAAAAATGATAGGGTTTTCTCTAAAGTAGTTACTCCACCTTGTATAGAGTGTCATTATGGACATTTTATGCTATAAATAACATGGTTCAAATGATAGCTATGCGACAGAAAAACTAGGGTTTTGGAAAACACTCATCGTTACATCGATCTTTTCCCAAATAATGCATCGTACTATAATAGTTCATCCGCGGGTTATGCTGTTGTTTGGGAAATGCACCAGTTTCATTCATAGTAAGAAATTTGGTGTTGTGAACAATTTTATACAGTCTATGGTTGTGAAGTGGAAAGCTCAAACTCCACTATAAAACAAAAGTTTAGTCAGCTGATGGAATATAGACAATACCATTGAACTTTTTCCAATTGTATTTCATTCATAAAAGCTGCTGATACTTCAGTTAAGTGTCTCTTGTCCACTTTTGCATTTTGTTATTAATATACTTTATTTAAACAATATAAAAGTCATTTTTTAAATAGTATTTGCATATTTATTAAAAACAAGTTTTGTTATCACCAAATTTTCTGGACCTTTGACATGGATAAAAATTCAGATTTGGACATTTGAGTAGAGTCTTTGAGAGCTCCAGCTCTATAGTAGTAATACAATAGGTTCAAATGTGTTTTCAACTACACCTGTATTTATCATTGTCCACCAATTGTGATTAAATCAATAAAAAAACATTAAAATACCATATATAAATAAGGCCAGAGCCACATTCTTGTGTAATTTGGATAAAATATGCACCATTACAAGCAAAGCTGTTGGTTTGGTCCATATTTTAGTTAAGCTTGCTATTTAGTATGTGTGTAAATGTACACTGTGACTACATAATTTTTCAACTTTTGACTGCAATCTAGATAGAAATGTGTTTTGTTATAAAATATTCAGTTCAAAGCTCTATATTTTGTTGTTGATTATTAAACTGTTGTGCTTAATTGAGTTTTATGATGTACATTCAGCCAGCAAAGTTGCTGCTGAGACTTCAAGCAGGCTACTCAAAACTCACATTAATAAGCAACAAATCTTTAATAATGTTTATTTATGAAACGTTCGATATCTTGAGCATGTAAATATCTTATTGTCTCACATTGAGAGCATTATTGATATTTCCTTGAAAATGCCTGGCATACAAAAATGTCATTTCAGAGCCCTTTCCCCCTCTAAACAGCTTCAAAACAACCTAAAAATCAAAAAAGTCAATCATTGCTAATGCTGCACATAGAATTGTCCTCCATGATGTTCAGTAGCCAATCATGGAAGAATCAAACTGTAATTGCATAATTTTTTCAGAGAAATGGATGGCCTTGGGGTTTAAGTATCACTTAATTGTCATGAATGTGCTTTTCGCTGGAAAGTCGTGTAGGGCTTTTTGAGCGCAGCGCATCCTGTGTGCTTCACTGCCCTCCAGCAGGCACACTGTATCCTCGCCCATGATTAAATAATCAATATCAAAGGTCAAACAGAGTGGTGATGTGTCAACCTAATGAAAGTCTAATGACAGTCATTTGCAGCCCATGCTGGTCGACCCTGGTTTTGATCAGAACGAGGAACTGAGGAGAATTTGAAAGTAGAACAATGCTGTTTTTCTAAAATGGTAATGTACAGTGATTATTTTTTTCGATCAGGGCCAATTAATTATGTACACAGCTGCGGGAAAGGGAGGGGAGGGGGTTTGTATGAAGAGATGAGACTGAAAATTAAAATAATTTTGTGCCAAAGAATTGTGTCAACCCTTCATAAGATTAAAATGTCCACAAATGAGAATTGTTTATTAATAAACAATCAGATCCAAACAATACAATAATTTAAGTGAACTATCTTTTCTGATTGACCAACTCATACTCACAAATAGCATTTGGTGAAGTTCTCAATCCCTAATTAACCCTTCGCAAAGCCCCGCCCCACTTCTCTATCCGACAAGCTTGAAGGCCATAGTGATGCTTTATCAATTTGTGCACTCCTCCTGAGAAATACTGTAGTGAATAATTTCTGGAAAAATAACATACTGATTTCCGACAGAATCAGACATAAAGCTCTGCAATATGCATACAAGGTATACATTCAGGATGTGAGTGTAGGGGTGGATCTACTGGGGTGGCAGGTGTTACCACCCTGTGAAAAACAATTGCCACCCAATCTGCCACCCACCATTGGTAACACAATAATGCCACAGTCACACTAGACTTGTGCTAGCAAAATTCTGTCATACAGAGCTGCGAAAAGGATCATGTCAAAATCAAAATAATAAGTGTGATTACTGAAGGATCCTGACTCTGAAGACTGGAGTAATGAAGCTGAAAATTCATCTTTATAATCACTGGAATAATTTATTAAATTAAATGATAAACTACTTTTGAACAGTTTTTTTTATAGTGCAATAACATTTCACTATTATGCTGTATTTTTGATTAAATAAATGCAGCCTTGGTGAGCAGGAGAAGCTTATTTTAAAACATTTGAAAATCCTACTGACCCCAAACTTTTGACCAATAGTGTATATATAGTCAGTATATTGCAGCAAGGAGATCATTTTCATTAGGATAAACACAATGATCCTTATATTTTGTATACAAAACTGTCAAACACCATCAACAAAGTGGCAGAATTACTCTTATATACAGTAACAGAATAAGAGAAGTCATATAAATTGGAAGGATCTCTAAACCAGTGGTTCAGGGCTACACCATTGTAAGGACATAAAATTACCCATACGAAAATGAATCTTGTCTATAAAATGTGTCTGAAAATATCATGCAGCCGCATCATCCACTTCTTCATGTTACCAGATATAGTCATTATTATAAATTTCACATCATTGGACTTGTTTAATTAATACAAAACTAACAGCATTAAGTAAGTAATTTGGAATTTGTGGTTGTGGCCAAATGTTTAGAGAGTTGGACTGTGTTCCAAAGGTTGCAGGTTTGAGTCACAGCATCAGAAGGGATTGTTGGTGGGGAGAGTGAATAAATATCCACTTCTATACCACAGCAGAGGTGATTGCCTTGAGCAAGCCACCAAACCCCCAACTGCTCCAGCCAGCCCACAGCTTCGGGTGTGTGTTCACAGGATAAAAGTGTCTGCTAAATGCATACATGTAAGAAACAATAAGGATTTTTATTAAGGGGACTTTAATAAAGTAGAAATGTGAAGTTTGGGGTTAGTGAATCCGTTTCCATTTGTAAAATGCAATATTTAAACTCAGAGGAAACCTTTAGTCTTTTCTTAGTAATATTTGGCAACACAATTGACAACAACAACAGGTGCCAATCAAAAAAAAGTGTGTGTATATAGTTTATTTATACACTACCAGTCAAATGTTTGGGGTCAGTTTTTTTTTTTTTAAAGGAAATTAATTTGTTCATCAAGGCGGCATTTGTCGAATGTAAAACAACTTGTTAAATTGTTAAATACTTATTACAATTTTATATTGCTGCTTTCTTATTGTATGTTGTTTCAAATGAAATATTACTTCAGTCATTATTGCTTTTAATAATATTATAATTAATATAATTATTATTATTAATAATAATAACAATAACAATAATAATATTTAAAATTGCAACGATATCTGTAAGATAGTGTGACTGAAGACTGGAGTAATGAAGCTGAAAATACATCTGTACAATCACTGGAATAACATATTAAATTAATATATAATCTTCCTTTGCATAGTTATTTTATAGTGCAATAACATTTCACAATTTTTACAATTTGTACTGTATTTTTGATTAATTAAATGCAGCCTTGGTGAGCAGGAGAAGCTTATTTGAAAACATTTAAAAATCCAACTGACCCCAAACTTTTGCCAAGTAATGTATAAATAGTATATTGCAGCAAGGAGATCCTATTCATTAAGATAAATGCAATGATCATCATATTTTGTAAACAAAACTGTCAAACACCATCAAAACAGTAGCAGAATAACCCTTATATAACAGAACAAGAGAAGTCATGTCAATAGGGAGGATCTCTAGACGGATCTCAACCACGTTGCTGGAAGACCACAGCACTGCATGTTTTGGATGTCTTCTTTGTCTGTCACAACCATTACTGGTCTTTCAATCTCTGCTAACGAGTTGATGATCTGAATTAAGTGTGTTTGGTTAAGGAGACATGGAAAACGTGCAGATCTGGTGGTCTTCCTGGTTGAGAAACACTGCTCTAGACTATGTTGTTTCATTAGGTTTATTACATTTACAATAGAGTCACACTAAAAGTCACAAACATTCATTAAACATTGCCAGTCCAATCACAGGAAAGATTAGTTCATTAGTCCCAAGTCCTCGCTCTCAAGTCATATGTTAAGCAGTAGTTACCATCCATTGATTGAGGCTATCCACACACATTTCCCTTTCATACATCTGAGAAATAGTGACAAGGGCACAGAATATCAGCTTTATGATTGGCCAGATCAACTGTCAATTAAATTGCCATAAAGAGTCAACTAGAATCTCATTTACAGCATAATAAATACTTCCAAAAAACAGCTAGAACAATAAGCAAGGCTGTGAGGCATAAAGAAAACAAAACATAAAACAAGACTAATTTTGGGGCGAGCAGTACTGACTGTCTTATTCAATCTCACGCTACTCCATTGTTATGGCTTTGCATTTGTGTCTCTTTCTGCATTTAAAGCCCAGCTGCAAACAATTACGAGATCAACCCATTGACGGATTCATGCACACACCAATTAGATCATGGGAAGATGTGGCCAGCTTTATTAGAATAGCATTTGTTTCTCCATTTCTAATCTGTGAAACATAATGCACATAAAATAAAATGGTTCCTCTGTGGCAGAAAGCTGGCACATTTCTGATCATTTCCAAAATAGCTAAGTATTCTTGTGAATCCATTTCCTCGGCTCAAACAGAGAGGAAACAAGCCCTTGTAATTATACAGCGAGGCATGTAAACAGCGGGGTCAGTTCAGCAATAGAAACGGATGAATCCTAATTATTTGTGTCCTTGATTGTATCTCACTTACCCAAATCCAGATGTATGGCAGGAACAAAGGAGTTCAGGAAGAACATGAAAATGACCACACCGAGGACAGTCAAGCACTTCACCAAGAGGACTTTGTCTGTTATTCTGTGCTGTAAAAAAAGAAAGAAACATGAACAACATATTCATAATTTAAAATAAAACCGAATAAAATGCCCTCTTAATATGCTACCAGTGTTTCTGATAGGTTGCTAACTGAAGATACAGTATGTCCTATTTGTTTACAGCTGTGAGGAAAAAGGATCATTGTCTTGCTGAAATATCCACTCTGGTTTCATCTTCATCATCCGGATATAGATGTTCAACTGAAGCAGCTAATATTAATTTACAATAATGAAGGGCAGAGGGTTGCTGAAGAATCTTCGTCCATTCTTCGTCCATTCCATATCCGTTTTCAAACAAAACCGGATCCTTTGCAGAGTAGTCCTCTGCGGATCAGCACCCAGGCTTTTAATTATTATTATTTAATTATATTTTACAATTATATGTAAATTAGAGGTATTGTTACACATTTGTCATTAAAATAAGGTCATAGCTTGCTGCTTAAGTCTTGCTGCTGTGCAACTGAAGCCGATCAAAGTTAGTCATTTCCAAGCAAAACCTGGTTTGCATGACTGCTTCCGAGCAAGGCCTTAATAATAATAAAAAAATAAATAAATAATAATAATAATAACAACAACAACAACAACAAAACAACAGTAATAATAATAATAATAATAAAGGGACTAAAACGAAAAGAAAATAAATAAATGAATAATCGCCGCCAAACTTCTTGCTGCTGTGCAACTGATGCTGAGAAATGATTGTTTCAGAGCCACTGTAGGCCTTAAAAATAATAATAATAATTTTCCCAGTGATGCGGCTGGAGGGGCATCTTCTGTGTAATAACGTGCTGGATAAGTTGGCAGTTCATTCCGCTGTGGCGACCCCAAATTAATAAAGGGAACAAGCCGAAAAGAAAATTAATGAATTAACGATAATAATAATAATAATAATAATAATAATAATAATAATAATAATAATAATAATTATTATTATTATTATTATTATTATTATTATTATTATTATTATTATTATTATTATTATTATTATTAGGCCCAGAATAAACACACTGGGCCCTGGGGCTATAACAAAGGGTACCATTTGTTTTTATTTTATTTCCTTCTATTTTAATTAAAATATAATATATTTATATTTTATACACATATAAATATCTATATATTTATACACATATGTATACATGTGTTCAATACTTTTTTCCTGTGTCATTTAATTTTATTCCACACGACTTCATTTGTTAACTAATTAAAATAGTTTATATATATATATATATATATATATATATATATATATATATATATATATATATATATATATATATATATATATATATATGTGTGTGGATTGCGTTGGTTGTTATCAACATACAGTCAAGTCAACAGCACCATTAGAAATTAGGGTTAGCAAAGAGGTCCAACACTCAATCAACCAGAGCCATCTTAATGCAGCTTTGTTTTTACCTTTTTCTGCAGCTCTTGAATATTGTGCTCCCAGTTTTTGTCTTCCTGCGAAATCTGCCTGTAAAAAAATAAGGGAACGACGCAGAATAAGAGTGTGTTAATATATCCTTTCAGCCAGCATGTACACATGCAAATGAGTAGGCGTGGCGATTTCATGTGGTCACCCCGAACATTTTCTTTCCAGAACGAGAGATAGCCTGTTTGTTATATATATTGTTATATATTCCCTGTTTGTTTTATTTATATATATATATATATATATAAACAGGCTACTGTTGAGAACAAAATTAGTCTGTGTGATTAAAATTTCAGTTCTCTACAAGAACTTCCGAGGGCAGACACAATTGAGAACAATTACCTACTTTTCTACAGGTTAATTATTTCTCATTTATCATCCTGGGCTTCTGGGCATGTACTGCTGACAGACACAACAGGTGTCATGCAGTTGGAATGAATATATTTTGGACCTAATAGGGTGTTTTCGAGTGATCTGATATCTAGACACTTTTCTGAAAATATCCTCATTTACTCACCCCAAGCCCATCCGATATATGCACTCATCGGCCACTTTATTAGGTACATCTTACTATTTTCTGGTTGGAACCACTTTTGCTTCCATAACAGCCTTAACTCTTCATGGCATAGATTCAAAGAGATGCTTAGGAACATTTCTTAGAGATTTTGGCCCATACTAAGATAATAGAATCTCGCAGTTAGATCAGATTTTTTTTGGCTGCAAATACATAACATTAATATTCCATTCCATCACATCCCAAAGGTGTTATTGGGGGATTAAGATCTGGTGTCTGTGGAGTCATTTTTGCATTGCGAACTCAATGAGGTCATTTGAGCTTTGTCACAAATGGAGCATTATCCTCAGAGAAGCAAATATCACAAGATGGGTACACTGTGGTCATAAAGGCATGGACATATCCTGCAACAATGCTCAGGTGGTAGGCTGTGGTGTTTAAATGATGCACTAAGAGGTACAAAGTGTGCTAAGAAAATGTCTCCCACACCATTTCAGCACTAGCAGGATGGATTCATGCTTTCATGTAGTCTATATCAAATTCTGTCTTTCTCAACTAAATTAGGGCTGGGAGATATGACAAAAAAATTTTATCACAATACAAATCACTTCGTATTGTGATTATGATATATTTCACAATATAGTACAATTTCTGCAAATTCAATCAATTAATATTTTATATGTATTTTGACCACATGTAAAATAATATTTATTTATACATTTTGAATGATATATTCATTCATTAATTTTATTTTAACAGTAAACTGGGAAATAAGATTATATTCATTCGTAACTGATCATAATTCACACTTTATGTAGAACTTATACAGGCTTCATTTCACTGAGTTGCTATCATATGATTGGCTAATGTTGTTGGCGAGAGTTTTCTTTCTTCATCTGAAGAGAAATTAAGGTTTTGGAGGATTTTTCTCCAGGAATCTAAAGAATGTGAATAGGGAACAACATTTGTGATGATCCAAAATACATATTTAAGCTTGGCCTGTCACAATAATCAATATATCGACTTATTGCACAACACATGGACAAGACCTCAATCATTTTTGGAGATGCAATATACAGTTGAAGTCAGAATTATTAGCCCCCCTGAATTATTCGGCAGAATTATCAGCCCCCCTGAAATAATTTTTTCTTCCCAATTTCTGTTTAACAGAGAGAAGATTGTTTTCAACACATTTCTAAACATACTATAATTTGACTAGATATTTTTCAAGACACTTCTATTTAGCTTAAAGTGACATTTAAAGGTTTAACTAGGTTAATTAGGTTAAATATGAAGGTTAGGGTAATTATGCAAGTTATTGTATAACGATGGTTTGTTCTGTAGACAGTCGTAAAAAAAATTTGCTCAAAGGGGCTAAAAATATTGGCCTTAAAATGGTATTTAAAAAAATTATAACTGCTTTTATTCTAGTTGAAATAAAACAAATAAGACTTTCTCCAGAAGAAAAAAATATTACCAGGCATACTGTGAAAATTTCCTTGCTCTGCTAAACATCATTTGAGAAATAAAAAAAAAACAAAAAAAAACTCAAAGAGGGGCTAATAATTCTGACTTCAACTGTATATCGCCTATACTCAAAAACTAATTCTAGCAACATTTTAGCTGATCACGCAACATCTCTATCTCTATTAAAGGTGCCAGTATGGTTACAAATACTGTAGTATTTACTATAAAATAGTGAAGTATATTTTCATGTGGGTGTCTGACAAATGAAAATAGATCTGGTAGCAGATACCGCAGCCTCTGTTACTTTTTAACTTTTGTGTTAACATTTATTATGACTTATTTAGGATATCCGTTTTATACACTTTGATTCCAACCTAATTATTACATTGGTAAAATAACTATAGTATAGTTAAATATTCTTAAGAATAAAATATTATGTGTTCTTTGGAAGAGTGTGCTTGCATTGGGATGATATAATATTGTCATTCTGGCATTATTAATGAGTGGCATAAAATGCTCTTAAAATGAAAATAATATAATTTATCGCAATATATTTTGTTGCAATATATCACACAACAAAAAATAGATATTGTGACAGGACTAATTTGAGCAGCCTAATTTCTTAGTAATCCACATGACCCAAACAAATAAGGGACAACAAGTACAGGTTTTTCCCAAGCAAATTAATCAGCTCCAATCATTCTTGAAAAAAATAAATCTGTGTTGCACATTCATGAGATGCTTCAGTTTGCTATCTCTTGCATGACTTATGCAAAGTTATAGTAAAAAACTTTGATTTCTCTTTAGTACAAGAAAGAAAGTCATATTTATGAGGTGGATGGACTAGAGATGAGTAATATGTATATAGTTTAATATCATATATGTGATGTCAAAATGGCTTATAATAGTCAATAAGGCTTAAAAATGTACAAAGTAAATGTACTTTTTTTAATTTGTTTGCACTCATGAGTAAACACTAAAATCAATCACAAATATATGCTTATATTCAACACTCTACATTCATGATTTTAACATTCATCAAAAACACCAAGTCAGTTTTGAATTACATTACTTTCCACCTTATCAAATAATTATTTGAAACCAAAATTAGCCCTAATGTGATAGTTTAGCACTTTAGTCTGTTAAACCATGTTAATTTTATTATAATAATTGTAATTATTATGGTAAGAAATCCAGGGTGTTGTTCTAAGTGTCTGATTTAGTGAAATATTTTTCAAAGTTTCCTCTAAATTACACAGTAAATCAGAATTTATACCAGCGTGTTACAAACTATCAATATTTACAGAATGTAAAACAGGGATTTGCATGGATAAATTAAATTAAATTAAATTAAATTAAATTAAATTAAATTAAATTAAATTAAATTAAATTAAATTAAATTAAATTTAATTTAATTTAATTTAATTTAATTTAATTTAATTTAATTACATAAGTGAACACTAAAATCAGCAAATGAAATGGCAACAAAAATATGCTTATATCCAACATACTGTGCATCTTTGATTTTAACATACAAATATTTACAGCGTGAGCCAGACTGCCTCAATTTTAAGCAGACAGACAACATAAAGAACAGCACCTCTGGAAGGTCTTGAGCTTCTTGCGCAGGAGGCTTTCCAGATTGAGCACCTTCTGCATGAGAAGACACTTGACGGCGGTCTCCTCTCGGCTGGCAGGGTTAATGCGATGGGCTGTCTGCCTCCACACCAGAATCTCATGCTTCAGCTCTGCAAGACGACACAAATCGGGACAAGATAAAGAGTTCAGACAAATACAAATTAAGATAAGAATTTCAAATCTGTTACAAAAAAACTGGTAAGAAACCGATAACAAGAAATATTAAAGATAGGGATTTATAGTTAATCTTAGTCAATCCAGAACATATATAAAAATGGAGGGTAAATTGTGACACTTCTGTTTACACATTTATTCAGAATTTTTTTTAGCTCAGAGCTTTGAAATTTGACCATCTTTGACATGTGACTATGGCTAACAATTTCACTACAGATACTGTACAGCTACATGTAAATGCAAACAGATCTTGCACATTGTTAAAAATACCATGACCAAATTAAAGCAAACAAAATAAAGAATCCATTTTTGTTGAATAAAAAACTATAAACACTTAAATTTAGCTTAAAATACCAAGTAAAAAACAGTTATTTATAATAATGCAAGCCTTATTTTTTTATAACTTCAAACTAAAATTTGCCTTAATATGCCAGTTTAGCATGAATCTGTAAAACTATGCTAACTTTACAATAATAACTGTAATTATTAGGGTAACTTTATAAGATTTCTAATTTTATAACATATTTTGTAATGTTTTTTTTTTAACTATGCGGTAAATTACACAAAATAAAAAAAATAAAAATAAAGTAACACAAAAATTAAATAAAAAAAATTAAATACAGCAACACAAAATAAAATAAAATAAAGCAACACAAGAATAAAATAAAATAAAATAATAAACTAAAATATAATAAACTAAAGCAACACAAAAATAAAATACAATAAAGCAAAACAAAAATAAAATATAACAAAGCACTACAAATTAAAATAAAATAGAAGGAATGAAAATAAAACAACACTAAAATAAAAAATAAAATAAAATAAAGCAACACAAAAAATCTAAATAAAGCAAAACTAAAATAAAATGAAAACAACACAAATTTATTAAATTAAATAAAATAAAATAAAATTAAATTAAATTAAATTAAATTAAATTAAATTAAATTAAATTAAATTAAATTAAATTAAATTAAATTAAAAAGACATGACGGAAACTTAATGATAACCAAATTTAATTCCTTAAATTTCGATGGTAATGAAAAAACACTGTAAAGGCATTTATTTTATTTATTTTTTTAAATCGAATGGAGACGGTGAGGAAGGAAAAGATAAGGTAAATCGAGAAAAAAAAAGACAAGGAGGGGCAAGGATTTGTACTAGTCCTTCAGCATGACTCCTCAGCAGTGTTGGTGGGGCTGCTAGGGAAAGCTTTCCAGAAGCTAATTGACACAGGAAAAACATGCTGATCACAATCGACACAGTAATGCATCATGCCGAGGGCCTGGAAAACTATATCAGCCGCACAGCAGGCCTGATTTTTTGAAAGTAAGGCTCTGTGGGGACTTGAGGCTTTACAGAATTAGAAATTGGACTGGCATTGCGTGGTCACCATCAGACTTAGTGGAGGTCTTTGGTTCCAGACGCAGCAAGCACCTAGGGTACTGGCAAACGGATCATTTAAGTTCCTGTTCTTTATAAAGCACACTTCGAAAAGTTTGCATCAACTCCATACCGAGCAGCATTCATTCATTGTGTTCATCACCCGATAACCCAATAATCAGAGGAAGGAGAAGAAGACTGACATTCCGGATTGTGCAAGTATCATGCTGATGATGGCTCAAAGCGAAGACAATCCTCACAGCGGGCATTGGCCAGTGGTGTGGCAGAACATATAAAGCGGCCGGGGGAAGGCATTTGTTTCAGCTGCTTGTCTCTCCTATTGTTTTATCTCCAAAATGACAGGTGCAAAAATGCATAAATTTAATTGAGGCTCTGGGTGTGATGTATTCATTCACGCCACACAGAGCAGAGTGTTTTCAAAAGAACTCAGTTTTTCTGTTGATGTACTGTATTTTAAGCTTGAGCAGAACTGAATTTGGACTCTTTTTGCTTAAAAAAAAAAGCAAAAAGTCTCATTGAATATAGGTTTACACTTTATTTTAAAGTGTCCACGTAACTGTGTGACTATTCATTTAAATACTAAGTATTGTCTTATTATTAGCGATCTTGCAGGACTCCCAGAATTCATCAAGATTCTTTGGATTCATTTTCAATGTCTCCTCCTTCATCTTAACCCCAGACATACTCAATAATGTTCATGTCTGGTGACTGAGCTGGCCAATTTTGGAGCACTTTGACCTTATTTGCTATCAGGAACTTTGTTATGGAGGCTAAAGTATGAGAAGGAGCGCTATCTGGCTAAAGAATTTGCCCTCTCCTGTGGTTTGTAATGTAACGGGCAGCACAAATGTCTTGATACCTCGGGCTGTTGATGTTGCCATCCACTCTTGCACGCCCCCATACTGACTGTGAACCCAAACCATGATTTTTCCTTCACCAAACTTGACTGATTTCTATGAGAATCTTGGGTCCATGCGGGTTCCAATAGGTCTTCTGTAGTATTTGTGATGATTGGGATGCAGTTCAACAGATGATTCACTGGAAAAATCTACCGTCTGCCACTTTTCCAAATGATCAACTAGAAGTCAAGTTATTATTTGTTGCTCTTACAACTGGGATCGATGACAAGACTTTTGTCTTTTGTGAGGTAGTGTACAGTTGTCCACGTTTTAATATTTACATTTATCACACAATTATGGAACTTTGTGATACGAAAAGTTTTTGGAAAAAGTGAGCTTTTTGTAGCCTAAAGAATACACTGTAGTGTTAGTTGCATGCAGTTATAACTCATTGTAATTACTAAGGTAAGCACGTGAAACATAGACACTGTAAACGATTTTTGCAAATTACACAGTATTTAACTGTAATATGAACTGTATTTTACTGTAGGACAGTTATCCAGTATCTACTGTATTTTTGTGGTTGCATTGTGAAAATTACTATATTTTACAGTAAAGACATTCTGTAAAATACGTACACAGCAAGATAAATAATGCTCTAAATGTAAATACAGTATTTTGCTGTTATTGATTTATAGTAATACTGGTGAACTGATGCCAGTCAGTTACTGTACAGAAAATTCTACAGGAAATTGTTAACAGTGTAACAAGGACACATTAAAAAGTGTAAACTGATATAATTACTATAAGATAAAAAAAAACTTTAATTAAAATAGAATAGAATAGAATAGAATAGAATAGAATAGAATAGAATAGAATAGAATAGAATAGAATAGAATAGAATAGAATAGAATAGAATAGAATAGAATAGAGGTACTGGACATATTCCCTTCTCTTGATTACAGTGAACTCATTGTCATGTTCAAGAAACCAGTTTGAGATAATTTGTGGTTTATGACATGGTGTGTTATCCTGCTGGAAGTAACCATCAGAAGATGGGTACACTGGTCATAAAGGGATGGACATGGTCAGCAGCAATTCTCAGCTAGGCTGTGGCATTAACACAATCTTCAATTGGTACGAATGGGCCCAAAGTGTGCCAAGAAAATATCCCTCACACCATTACACCACCTCCACCAGCCTGAACCGTTGATACAAGGCAAGATAGATCCATGCTTTCATGGTGTTGATGCTAAATTCGGACCCTCCCATCCAAATGTCTGGATATTTTCTCTTTTTCGGACCATTCTCTGTGAACCCATATGGTTGTGCGAGAAAATCCTAGCAGATCAGCAGTTTCTAAAATACTCAGACCAACCCATCTGCACCAACAACCATGCCACATTCAAAGTCACCTAAATCCCCTTTCTTCCCCATTCTGATGTTCGCTTTGAACTGCAGCAGATCATCCTGACCATGTCTACATGCCTAAATGCATTGAGTTGCTGCCCTGTGACTGGCTAATTAGAAATTTGGGTTAACGAGCAGCTGGACAGGTGTACCTAATAAAGTGGCCAGTGATTGTATAACAATATGAAGTACTTGTTAAAAATGAAGCTATAATATTTAATTTCAAAGTCACATACAGTACAGTAGAGTAAGTTTTAATTACTCTAAATTTCTCAAAGCCCACAAAATTCCATCATTTTGCACAAAATTAATGTTTAAAGGTCTATTCAAGCATGACCAGTGAATCTGTTTTAGATAGTAAACTCCTGCATATATTTATACTATATAAGTACTCATCAACTTTCGCATCGAGCCCAGATTTCTAGGTAACTAAGGCCAAATAACTGTTGTGACTGGGCTAATCAACATGCAGTTCTCATACACCATCACCACCAACTCATCAAAAAATGGCTCAAAAGACCTGCTTTAAATTGGATGATCAACCACTGTGTAACTCTTATAGCATTCTAAAAGAAAACATTACGGTGCATGAAGGGGCTTCGTGTTTTCCTCTCAATCTGACTTTTAAGTGCGGCAAAGGCCTCTCGGGGAACCTTGTGAATGGCTGGAATGAGTGGTTTATTATAAAGCAGCTATTGTCATCCTGTCAGGAGTGTGAAGGAGAGCTCAGGTGTGGAGCTGTTCAGGAGATGTGAGAAGCAGACAGAGCAGCTGCTCAAGAGGCTAATGGCCATCTGTAGAGAGACTCTGACAACCGCACATGATTATTCTGACGCTTTATTTTCATAACAAATGATGGAATAAACAGAGCCCATTTGACTTGGGGTTAAAATGATCAAAACATGCAGCTGAAAAAAGGTTTGCAAGTACAGAGATAATTTTAGCACTTAAAGTTTAATTCTGAATGTTACTTGTGTATTATTATAAGTTGTAACATTCTGTAGACACTTGCAGAAATGGGGTTATCTTAAAAGAACACACTGTCACAAAAGGAACACAAAAATCTTGCTGCCTAAATATCTGTTGTTGAATCAAAAACTTTTCTAGTCAACTAACACCAATCAAATTGACAAATAATATTAGGTTCAACTTTGTATAAGTTAAAATTTTGTTTACATCTGATTAACTTATTAGAATAAGTTAAAGCAACAGTTTAACCAATAGTTAACATGTGAAAATCCCAGGGAGCAAAGAAGTCTGGCCCAGATTTGGCATAAAGCTGGCAC